CAGTAAGTGACTAAACGACTAACAGCAACTAATTAAGAAATTCAGATTGCACGCTCGCACTGTCCTTTGAACTAGATGACTACTTTACCGTTGTTGTTCGTTCGTTATTATTATGGGTAGAAGCTATTTTTTGAACTGGTTGAGGCTGTTCTTCATCATTATTAGTAGAAAGCTTTGAAAAAAAAAGCAAATGAGAAGATTATGTAGATCAGTCCAAATAAGGTATTGCACATCCAATGCCTTACAACAGCAACAAGTTATTCAGGAAGGAAAGGCAAGGGAATAATTATTTACAGATGCGTGATGAGTATTGAGATAAATTCGAGATCACTATTTAAAAGCCGTATAAGGTGATCTCGTTCTTAAAACTACAGAACGCTACTTTCACTCCAGCTCCAGCTGTTGTTCCCATTCCAATTCCAGCCGCTCAGACTCCAACTATTGTTCCCACTCTAACCGCTGTTTGAATACTATATAGTGGACGTAAAATTATTTCATATATAAGGAGCTTTTCTAGGGACATCTTACTGGGTCATTTTTTTTTAAAAATAGAAAAATAGAAGAATTTTAATAAACCAGTGAGATTTATATATATATATATATATATTTTAAATGACTCTTTTTTAAAGTTTTAACTTGATAACTTATTTATAACAGAGTTGGTGGCAAAATCGCTATCGAAGAAGCAACAAAGTAATTTAACTTCATCAAATAATGATTGTGAAATCAACACGTGTAGTGTCTATTACTATGGCAATCTTTTCCATTATATTTTGACAGAAATGTACATACGGAATATAATTGTTTAGAGTTGACTTCATGAATAAAGGACATATGCGCTGATTTTGTTCGAACCCCAAAATTTAGTACGATGTGATGATGATACGAGTCAGTCAATTGACTCAACATACGTTATGTTATTAATTATACTAATTAATTTCATATTGTGAAAACAAGTTTGATATTAAAGGTTGGTCAAACCACTAAATCATTAGTATTAGAAAGGTCATGAACCAATCACACCAGTTTATTAACAATTATTACTTCTTGAAATACTACCAATAAAATAAAATGGAATAAATGGAATGATAAATGATGGCTAATTGTGATTACTAATGCTAAATGCCCAAACGCATCATTGACAATAATCGGGATCCCAAATCGGTCCTCAATTTACTATCTCACAAAATAACAAAAGTATTTATTTATCCAGTTCAAAGAGCAACTTCCTCTACTAATAATGAGAAACAACAATGAAAAAATATTAAATTAGCTAATCATTTTGAACATAGAAATTAAGCTAATTTGTTCAGCCTCTTTAAAATTCTGTTTCATCAACCAGAAAAGGCCATTTGTTTTAAATTAGGATCCTTTTTTTTTTTTTTTTGCGCTTAAAAATGTCATTTTTAAAAACAAAAAAATTAATTCCATTCAACATTTATAATATCCTTTATTAAATTACAATAGGCCATTTTCCATTCATTGTCTAATTTAACTAATTAGTCATATTAATCAGCGTTTTATACAACATTTTAATCAAGATTTATTTGACATTATGCTAGTGACGAAAGTAAATTTATAAAAATGCAATATTGTGCTGTTATTATAAACGGAAATGGCCTGTACGTAATAATTTGTTAATATTATTATTAACATCCGCATTAACATCCACTATTACTATGCTAATCGATATCTTGGAAATTATCCAATCAAATTGTATATATTTTACGTAATATTTGTTACATTTTATTACATCATATGTAAGTGTGTGTGTTAAGTGTGTTCAATCACATGGTACCGTGTAATTAGTCTTTGCCCAATAATAAAACACACGTATATATATATATACTACTGGAAAATATTTCTAAAAAAAAAAAATTTTTAAATTTAAAAATGTCAACTTGAGAAAAGCAAAAAATTAAGACTTCAAATAATTCCTATGTT